CGACAGGCCGTCTGGGTCCGCAACTGTCTTGAGAGGTCGACGCTGCCGCCGGGAACGACACCGTACCAGCTGCTGACCGGGAAGAAGCCCGACTTGTCGCTGGCACGAGTATGGGGCTGCATGGCGCAGTTCCTTGTCCCTGAGCAACAACGTGGTGGGAAGCTGCAGCCGAAGGCCAAGTGGGGCCTTCACCTTGGTGTGTCAGAGGCGAGCAAGGGCTGGGAGCTCCTTGACGTCACCTCTGACCGGATGGTCACCACGTCGGACGTGGTGTTCTACGAGGAGCTGTCGCTGGCTGAGTGGAAGACGGAGCATGGGCCGGTGTCCGGCCGCTTGCCGCCCTCTGACACCTCGTCGGCGACGCTGCCGCTGCTTGCCGAGGTCGGTAAGCTTACTGTTGAGGACGTCGAGAACGTCCATACCCCTAGGCCTCACCCTCTGACCCCTGCCCCTCCCCTCGTGGCCGACCTGCGTGGGCTGACCTCGGTGTCGGCCTCCGGCGATGAGGGGAGTAGTGGGACGCCGCCTTCGGCGCCGGCCAAGTGCATCGCCGGCGACCGACTTGACGAACGGCGCATCGACGTGGGATTGGAGTCGACAGGGGAGGAGCAGGTCGGGGAGCAGCAGCCGACAAGGGAGCAGGCTGTCGTGAAGACGACCACGGAGCAGTCGGCGACCGGGACGTCGGCAGGGGAGCCGACCACAGGGGAGAAGTCGGCTGGGAAGCCGACCACAGTGGAGCAGTCGGCTGGGACGCCGGCTGAGGGGCAGCAGAACGCCGAGGAGGTTCAGCAAGGACCGCGACGTTCAGGCCGACTTCGGAGGCCGCCTGACTTCTTCGTCCCCGCTGCCTTCACCACGGTGTATGACGTAAACGATGAAGATGACCTGCTGTACGACGACGCCGAGGAGGATGAGGAGTTTCCGGAGCTCGACCCTGACGTGCTAGCTGACCCTGAGCACCGTTGGGACATCTCGACGATGACGGTGAAGGAGGCGCTGGCGAGCTGGAAGGGCCCGGCGGTGAAGGCCGCCATGGAGGAGGAGATTCGGAGCCTCATCAACATGGGCACTTGGGAGCTGGTCGAGCGCCCGCCGGGGGTGAACGTTATGAAGAACCGGTGGGTGTTGACGACGAAGTACCACATCGACGACACCGTCGAGCGAGAGAAGGCGAGGCTGGTCGTGAAGGGCTTCACACAGGTGTATGGCGCCGACTACGACGAGACGTTCGCGCCGGTGAGCAGCTACGTCACTCTGAGGATTTTCCTCAGCATCGTCGCTGTCCTCAACCTTAATCTGATGCAGCTCGACATGAAGAACGCCTTCCTGCAGAGCAAGCTCGATCGGGTGCTGTACATGTCTCAGCCGGACTACTTCAACGACGGAACCGGCCGGGTATGTAAGCTGCTGAAGAGCCTGTACGGGCTGAAGCAGTCGCCGCTGTTGTGGTACTTGGCACTCAACGATGTGCTGGTCGGCGCCGGGTGGAAGAAGAGCCAGGTCGACGAGGCTCTTTACTTCAAGGTCGGCGAGGATGGAGTGGCCTGCTGGGTGCTGGTCTACGTCGATGACCTGCTCGCCGCCAGCAGCAGCGCCGCGATGCTGAGGGAGCTGAAGGAGCTGCTCGAAGCTGCCTTCGAGCTGCGCAAGATCTCGCCGGTGCAGAAGTACCTCGGACTGGAGATCGTGCGCGACAGGTCGGCGGGGAAGCTGTGGCTGCATCAGCAGGGCTACGCCGACAAGCTGTGTAGGCGCTTCCTTGACGAGGAGCAGACCGGGCGCACCCCGAAGACGCCGGTCTCGGTCGGTGCCTACGCCGAGCTCACCTTCGTTGACGAGGAGGCGCAGGAACGGTAGGAGGAGGAGTACCGGCAGAAGGTCGGCTCGCTGCAGTTCGCGGCGACGACGACGAGGCCGGACGTCGCCTTCGCCTGCAGCAAGCTGGGGAGCGGCCTCACGGTGAGGAGCGATCAGCACTGGCGTGAGGTCGATCGCTGTCTCGCCTACCTCGCCAACACACGCGACACCGCCCTGGAGTTCGGCGGTGGACCTGAGTCGCTGGAGCTGGTCGGCTACGTGGACGCCGACGACGCCGGTGACAAGCAGAACAGGACGAGCACGAGTGGCTACGTGTTCGTCTACGGAGGGGCTGCAGTCTCCTGGTCGAGCCAGCGCATCAAGTGCGCGACACTGTCGTCGACCGAGTCGGAGTACGTGGCGGCCACTGAAGCTGGCAAGGAGGGACGCCGTCTTCGCTTTCTCCTCGCAGAATTCCGGCAGCTGGATGTCGGGAAGCCGACTGTCCTGCGCGTAGACAACAAGTCGGCCATCACGGTCGCCGAGGGCATGGGGTTGATGGGCAACCTCAAGCACATGGAACGGCGACAGGCCTGGCTGCAGCACATGGTGAAGCGCGGGAAGTTCTCGCTGAAGTACATCCCGACAGCTGAGCAGCCGGCCGACTTCCTGACGAAAGCGCTGCACTATCCGGCCTTCAACCGGTGCTCCGTTGCAATCGGCCAAGTGCGCTTGGCCGACGTGGGCGACGGCGGCAACGACGTGCAGCAGTAGGTGCCATGCCCTTTTGCATGGCTGGTGCGGTGGACGACGTGCTATGTGTTGGGCGCACGTCGACGAGCTAGTCTCCGAGCTGTACTGCCGTGGGGGCTGGGTGCCCAAGCGTGAACGCGGCAGGGGAGTGTCAACGGGAGTTGGGTATTGGCCCCGTCCTCGCTTGGGCGGAGCCGACTTTGTGGTCGAGTGTGAGGGGAGCAGCCGACCTGCAGCAGTGGGCGAGCTGGTCGACGAGGAGGTCGACCTGCACGGGGGACCATTGCACGGGCTCAGACTTCAGGGAGGTCGACTTGGGAGTCGACCTGTGGAGGACGTCGAAGCCGACTTTGGCGGTCGGTAAACGGACCGCTGATCTACCTGCGGGTGGTCGACTGGACCTGGTGGTCGACGAAGGAGGGACCGACGTCGACCTTGACACAGGACGTCGAGCAGTCGGGCGTCGAGTAGCGGGGCGTCAACTTCGTGACGACAGCTTCGGGTGGCCGACGTGGGTGGTCGGCCGACGACTGTGCTGGTCGACGTGGAGCTGGTCGACCACAGGGGATGTCGACCTGGAGGAGGTCGACCGATGGTGTCGTCGACTTGGGAGGTCGACGGGCACGTACGGGAGCTGCAGGTCGACGTGGTTGCCTGGTCAACCATGTTACCTGGGTGACGAAGTGCTGCGACGTAGTGCGACGGTCGCCCAGGCGAAGTTGGCGAGCACGACCTCAGTGGTGGTATCCCGAGGTCGTCGTGACGGATCAGAGGCAGTTGTCGGCTCGAGGTTGATGTGGAGTGTGTGCTGTGCAGGTGACGGGACTCTGCACGCCAATCGGCTACGCACACCTGCAAAGCGGGTGCACTGCTGTCCTGCGTGAGCAACGCTGGCACGCCGTCGACCTTGCCTTGCTGGAACGCGGTCGACCAAGCTGCGCTGGCAGTTGGCCGACCTGAATGCTTGCTCGGATGTAGTCTTGCATTGCCAACTTCATTGTACCAATTGTTCTGAACTTTTCCTAGTGAAACTCTTGCCAATTTTCCCCGTGAACTAGCAAGTAGTGTGTACACAAGGAAAACGACTAAGGAACAGAGAACGCAGAGATCACACGAGCACACGTGCCTAGCCCGTAGCCTAGCTCCCGTTGCTGCAGTTATCTCCGCATGGCCGACGTGGGCGACAAAGATGACAACGTGCAGCAGTAGGTGCCATGCCCTCTTGCATGGCTGGTGCGGTGGACGACGTGCTGTGTGTTGGGTGCACGTCGACGAGCTATTCTCCGAGGAGTACTGCCGAGTGGACTTGGGGGGGCCAAGCGTGAACGCGGCAGGGGAGTGTCAACGGGAGTTGTGTGTTGGCCCCGTCCACGCTTGGGCGGAGCCGACTTCGTGGTGGGGTGTACGGAAGGTACAGCCGACTTGCAGCAGTGGGCGACGCCGACTTGGACGAGCTGGTCGACGGGGTTGGTCGACTTGCACGGCGCCACTGCAATACCGCCGACTTGGGAAGCCAGCGGCCGACTTCAACTGGTGGTCGGCGATGTGGCACGTCGACCTGGAAGTCGGCGCCGACTTGCAAGGTCACCGACTTGCAAGGTCACCGACTTGCAAGGTCACCGACTTGCAAGGTCACCGACTTGCAAGGTCACCGACTTTGCAAGTCGGCGCCGACTTGCAAGGTCGCCAACTTGGGAGGTCGCCAACTTCAAGAGGTCAGTCTGGAAGTCGGCGCCGACGTAGAAGGGGCGTCGACCTGGTGACGCCGACTTGGGTAGCTGACAACTGCACTGGTCGACCAGGAGTGACGTCGACCTGGATCTGGTCGACTAGAGGAGTGGCCGACCTGGTGAGGTCGACCTGGTGTGGTTGTCGACTTGGGAGGTCGACGAGCACATACAGGAGCAGCTGGTCGACATAGTTGCCCGGTCGACCAGGATACCTGGGTGACGAGGTTCTGCGAAGGAGTGCGACGGTCACCCAGGCGAAGTTGGCGAGACCGACCTCCATGGTGGTATCCCGAGGTCGTCGTGGCGGATCAGAGGCAGTCGCTAGCCCGAGGCTGACGTGGTGTGTGCGCTGTGCAGGTGACGAGACTTTGCATGCCAATCATCTGCGCGCACCTGCAAAGCGGGTGCACTGCTGTCCTGCGTGAGCAATGCTGGCACACCGTCAACATGCAGCGTTGGCTTTGCACTGCTGTAGCGTGGTCGACCAAGTCGTGCTGGAACGCGGTCGACCATGCTGTGCTGGCAGTCGACCAACCTGAATGCTAGCTCTGATGTAGTCTTGCATTGCCAACTTCATTGTACCATCATTGACAACTTTCTCTAGTGAAACTCTTGCCAAAATTGCCCCGTGAACTAGCAAGCAGTGTGAGCACTAGGAAAACGTCTAAGGACCAACGAACGCAGACATCACACGAGCACACGTGCCTAGCCAGTACTCTAAGCTCCCGTTGTAGTAGTTATCTCCGCATCTTCTTCCCCCCATTCCTCTCCCTCGTCTTCTCCCCCTTCCTCTCCCCCGTCCTCGCCCCCTTCCTCGCCCTTGTACCCATCCCCTTCCCTTGTCTCGTATTCTCCTTGTGTGCCGGTCGCGTATCCTCCCCCTACCCCTGTCTCGTTTCCCCCCCCTTCCCCTTGCTCGTATCCTTCCCCTTGCACTTTCGCGTATTCTCCCCCTGCACCCGTCGCGTATCCTCCCCCTTCCCCTGTCGCATATTCGCCTCCTTCCCCTTGCGCGTATCCCCCCCATGAACCCGTCGCGTATCCTCCCCCTTCCCCTGTCGCGTATCCTCCCCCTTCCCCTGTCGCGTATCCTCCCCCTTCCCCTGTCGCGTATCCACCCCCTTCCCCCGTCGCGTATCCTCCCCCTTCCCCCGTCGTGTATCCTCCCCCTTCCCCTGTCGCGTATCCTCCCCCTTCCCCTTGTGCGTAGCCTCTCCCTTCCCCTGTCGGTTCTCCTGGGTAGGCTGCTCCTTCCCCTTCATGACCTCCCACCCCATGCTCCGCCACAAACCCGTTCATTGTACCCGTGTGAGTCTCTCTTCTTCGATTATACTGTGTATCTCGTTTAACGTTCCTAATTAAGCATAGTATGTAGCAAAGCCATCTAACAGACTTCACAGTTTACTGTGCACCCTTCCAGACACCGATATTTGACGGCCAAAAATTGGAACGCGTACGAAGCAGGCAGGGTAGGAAATGTGAAGGTTAGGAGCTCGCGCACCAAGCGTGAGAGAGGCTTAAATTACTGTGTAAGTTTTGGGGTCGGAACAGGGACGAGCAGGCAGAGGGAGTGGGGATGAGCAGGTGAGGGTGCGGGGACGAGGAGGTGAGGGAGCGGGGAGGAGCAGGCGAGGGTGCGGGGACGAGGAGGTGAGTGAGCGGGGAGGAGCAGGCAAGGGTGCGGGGACGAAGAGGTCAGGGAGCGGGGATGAGCAGGCGAGGTGCGGGAACGAGCAGGGGGGTAGGGTAGAGGGGAAGGGGTGTTGGATTTGAATGGGCATGAATACTGTACGTACAGTATTTCAAGCTGGTGGCCACAAAACGGGAGCTGGCGTTGTGTGACGAAAAGTCGGTGTCTTGCCGTGGGTTTAGGAGAGGTCATTCTAGGTGCGATGGGTTGTGGTGTGGTGAAGTGATGTGAGGTGCATAACGCTGTGCTGAACAGTACCTGCACCTTCGCCAAGTCGGAAAGAGACCAACGACTATGGAAGGCGATCAGGACAATTTCGGGCTGCAGATGATTGAGATATTTTTTGTTTCAGGCTCGTAACTCGTAAGCATCTAACATTCACGCAACAATTCTTCCACGCCAGGGTTTGGGACCAACGCTCAAACATCAGTGCCAGTTTGAATCACTGAGGAACGTAACAAGATGCTCTGTTTTTAGACATTCCGTACTTTTAGGGTTTACAATTGTAACACACCCACAAAGTTCAAACTTGCTGAAACAAAACACATGGTTGTGCAAGCAACAATAACACTGTTGCAAACGAAGCGATAGCAGGACAACTTGAAGAGATTCCTTGATGGCTCTGGCGCACAACGCTGCACGGCCACACCCTCACAAGAAACGAAACAGTAGATATGAGTCAGCATTATGAAAGGCGGTTCGTGAAAATCGCACTGTAGCTTGAAACTGTTGTGTAACATGCCCCCACTTGCAACGCAGTTTCACATGTGAAACCGCCAAAAAAAGGAAGGCCCAAGTTAAAACCATTCATGATGTCAATAACACCCAGAACAGTGAAAATGCTCAATTCTGTATGCTTACACAAATAACTAGTCTCACAGACATGTCATATTGGAAGCAACATTATTGGTTAAATTGTTGGGGCTTTTGTTGAGTGGTAAATTATAAGTATTATGATAAATTTAGGTAACCTCTAGCGTACTAGGGCTGAAAATAGTGCTTGAAACCAAACTATGGTTGGTCTGTGTCTCCAAATGAACACCTACATCGATATCTCATAACGCTCATATATCGTAGGATTATAGTCCAAAACTTCATCTGAATGGCTCTACCCGTTCCTCTACAGCTCCTCTACAGTTCCGCATCAGGGTTGTTTCTTGGCTGTAATTTACCAAAATCAACATATCGAGCAATACCAATGAAGAACCTAACACTTAACAACTCATACTCTGACCACCATTGCCATGTGCTGACCACAAACCAAACCTTGTCTGCCACCCTGACACCAGTTTGAGACCCCCCTATCATTCTCAGCCCAGTCCATGAAGGCTAGATAGGTTCATCATGCCATGATATGTAAGGGAAGCCCAAATCTGATGCAGAGTTGCCGGGTATTGGATTTCAGTCCTCGCCACCAACCAAACCTTGTCAGAAAGCTCTACAAGTGATAGGGTAGTCTCTTGACACCACTTTGAGACCCCCCTATCATTCTCAGCTCAGTCCATGAAGGCAAGATAGGTTCATAATGCCATGATATGTAAGGGAAGCCCGAATCTGATGCAGATTTGCCGGGTATTGGATTTCAGTCCTCGCCACCAACCAAACCTTGTCAGAAAGTTCAGCAAGTGGTAGGGTAGTCTCTTGACACCAGTTTGAGACCCCCCTATCATTCTCAGCCCAGTCCATGAAGGCTAGATAGGTTCATCATGCCATGATATGTAAGGGAAGCCCAAATCTGATGCAGAGTTGCCGGGTATTGGATTTGAGTCCTCGCCACCAACCAAACCTTGTCAGAAAGCTCTGCAAGTGATAGGGTAGTCTCTTGACACCAGTTTGAGACCCCCCTATAATTCTCAGCTCAGTCCATGAAGGCTAGATAGGTTCATCATGCCATGATATGTAAGGGAAGCCCAAATCTGATGCAGATTTGCCGGGTATTGGATTTCAGTCCTCGCCACCAACCAAACCTTGTCAGAAAGCTCAGCAAGTGGTAGGGTAGTCTCTTGACACCATTTTGAGACCCCCCTATCATTCTCAGCTCTGTCCATGAAGGCTAGATATGTTTATCATGCCGTGCTATGTGAGAGTAGCTTGAATCTGATGTAGAGTTGCCGGGTATTGGATTTCAATCCTCGCCACAAACCGAACCTCGTCAGAAAGCTCTGCTAGTGATTGGGTTGTTTCTCGACACCAGTTTTCTAGAGATTATGCTCTGATTCCTAGGGCCCTTGGTTTTTGATTCTGATATTTTAGATTTGATTGTTTCAGTAATGTCAGCAACAGTATAACAATTTCGCCAATATCGCGAACCGCGAGTTGCTCGTGTGGGCAGTGCACACATCCCCTCCCGTCATTTCAAACTTCGAATTCAGAATTCAAATAGCCGCACCACACAGCAAACAGAGTCGGCCAGAGCACGCTTACTCCGTGCAGTGATCCTTCCCGAGTCGCTTCGCCTTACAATCACAGTGAAGTGCGCCTTCCGCTGCCTGACGTGATAATCACGCACAAGTCTCTTGCTTTAGGGTGAGGCTTGAGCCTGACAGTCTCATTTGGCGATTTAGCTTCTTCTAACTTTTGCTCGGTTTTCTCTAGACTGCAGAGGAATTCTCACAAGAACCTCTGGGGGGATAGACAAGCGCAAGGTCCGCCATTCTCTAAGCTCTAAGGGTGGTATGGAACATCGTCCCCTTCCCGCTGTCCTTCCATGAGCCCATCCGTCACAGCAGCCGCACGCGGCTCAATACTGTGCCTGCCATTACCCACCACGTTAAAACGCCTCGTGCAGCACGTATTGCGAGTGTAGATAGCACCTTGGCTTGCGGCGGGGCCGCGCTGCGCGCCAATTCACCCCTACATCACGGCGCGGTGCGCGGCGAGTAAATCATGATCATACGCAGGGCCATAGGCTAGACAGAATGCGGAGCAGTTATACTTCCCACTCAACACTCGTATGTCTAAGTTTAGTCACAGTCCTCTGTGTAGCATCAACATGTAGAACTTACTTCGAGGTGTGTCTCATAGGAACCCGGTCCTCTGGTCGCTGCCGCGATACCCCTATAGGGAGTCACCTTTCACGCCCTTCGCAGGTCGACCTCTCAGGCCTAGCCGCTACTAAAGAGCACTTGTACAATGCGGCCACTCTCGGGACTCTTCATATTACAGCTGGTCATAGCATGAACATCAACAAACAGTTACTGTGCGTCTTTTGCAAGGGGAGATTTCGAAGTGCCCAGTGTTTCGGGCGGCACAAGGCATGGGACCCTGTATGCCGTGTCAAATATGCAGCACTGCGTCAGGGTGGACCTTCACTACAAGAGCACATTGTCCTTTTCACAACACCTGTTCCCGATGCTGAGAATACGGCCCATGTTCCGGCCCATCACGTACATGGCGACAACGTACAGTCACAGGAAGACGGTGAGCATTCCGGCAGCAATTCCTCATATTCTACACCCGGAAATGAAATGCCCGAGGCAGTCACCGGCGCGGACACAGCGAATTCGCCTCAGAGTAACAACAGCGGTAGAAATACCGCTGCTCCCTCCGTACCAACAAGCTTCGGGCGTCCACCACCGAGCAATCCCGCTGCGCTTCATTTTCTGCACTTTGTGCGGAAAGCCAACGGACGGCTTGGTTTGGCAGAGACGGACATCAACGCACTGCTGCAACTTCTAATGGTTCCGGAACTTGCACAGAGAGTGCTCGAGGAGTACACCAGCTGCCGAGAGCTCGAGCGCTTTGAGTTGGACCAACTGCGTGGTCTAGGCCGTGGGTACTCGACTGTAACATTCAAGGTTGCGGGCTTCCCGGCGCAGACGCTGTTCTTCCGTAACTCATTACAGGTACGTGCTGTGTGAGTTATTTCCTATGCAGTTTGTTGATACGACCTTTATTTCGCTGCACGTATTATTTTTAGCTCATCATAATCGCGTCGTGATTGTCTCGTCGAGGCTCTGGCCGACCTGTTTGGCGATCCGCGGAATGCGCCTCGGTTCGTTCTGAAGCCACGGGTAGACACTGACCCGAAGACCCGTCAGAGACGCTACACCACACCGGAGACATCGACCTGGTGGCATGAGGACCAGGTGAGAGGGAGAATGAGTAGTACAAATGCTTCTTTTTGCCACGTCTTTAAATGCTATCTTTGCTGCACAAAAACATATTCCAACAGTTCACTGACTCGCACTGCCCGGCCCTCTCACACACTGCCATGAGATGGTTAGAGGCGTGCGGAGATGGGAGAGGAGGGTTGTGTGGAGCTCAAGCATGCACCTTGTTGCTTCATTTTCTCTCTCTGCCCCTTATCCTTGCCTCCCTCTGCCTGTCCCTCCCACCCACACACAGGAGAGGGACAGAGGAGGGCGGACAGAGGAGCGAAGGGGAGTGAGGAGCTCAAGCATGCACCTTGTTGCCTCATTTTCTCTCTCTGCCCCTTATCCTTGCCTCCCTCTGCCTGTCCCTCCCACCCACACACAGGAGAGGGACAGAGGAGGGCGGACAGAGGAGCGGAGGGGAGTGAGGAGCTCAAGCATGCACCTTGTTGCTTCATTATCTCTCTCTGCCCCTTATCCTTGCCTCCCTCTGCCTGTCCCTCCCACCCACACACAGGAGAGGGACAGAGGAGGGCGGACAGAGGAGCGGAGGGGAGTGAGGAGCTCAAGCATGCACCTTGTTGCCTCATTTTCTCTCTCTGCCCCTTATCCTTGCCTCCCTCTGCCTGTCCCTCCCACCCACACACAGGAGAGGGACAGAGGAGGGCGGACAGAGGAGCGGAGGGGAATGAGGAGCTCAAGCATGCACCTTGTTGCTTCATTCTCTCTCTCTGCCCCTTATCCTTGCCTCCCTCTGCCTGATCCTCCCTCCCACACACAGGAACCCTGGGCGGACAGAGAAGGGGAGTGGAGTGAGATGCACACTCATGCTCCCGTATGCTCTAATCTTGTTCACATACCCCCCTCCATCCGTATTATGTTATGCTATGTCCCTGTCTGTGGTATTGTTTACCTTGAACCTCAGGCCCATGTTGGGCTAGACGTAGTCATCGCTGGGATTATCCTGTATAGTGACGTCACACACCTCAGCAACAACGGCAGGAAAAAGGCACATCCGGTGATGATGAGTCTCGTCAACATCTCCCAGGGGAAACGTTGGGCATCTTCTGGCCACGTGCTTTTGGGGAATCTCCCGATACCACCGGCCGGCATGAGCTCGGCTCAGAGCACCGAATTATTTCACAAAGCCGTGGAGCTCATGCTGCAGCCCATCCTCGAGGGGTTGAAAAGGTTTTAATCACACTTGCCCTATATTAACTTTGCTTTGATGTCCAGTTCTCATGCGCACTTCCACCGCAATCTGCGCATGTGACATTTTATCAGTGCCATCTCAAAGGGAAGCGTTTCCGTATAGAAGTATAACCACCCCTCTATATGATTCGTTCTACCAAGCCTCGTCCCCCAAAACCCATCCTGCCTTTTTTCCAACGCATTGCAGTGGTTTCAAGATGAAGGACCCGAATGGCGTCGAGCATCTCGTCATACCCATGCTGTACGCATGGGTGTGTGACTTTCCAAAAAGTTGCAAAATTACGTGCACTCTTTCGGGCACTACCAACCGGCCGTGCAGCATATGCTATGCCCACAGGGTATGTGACATTGTCGTTGAGTTGTCCTTCTCTGCACTAAACGCCTAATTATGATCGCACACATTCAACTCATACTTGTATTGCATGTATATACGTGTGGGTATCCGATTCTACATGCAGGACCACTTGTGCGCCGTATCAGCTCCAAACGTTAACCGCACTGTTGTGCAACAGCAGTGGATCAAGGAAAACTGGTACAAACCCTTCGATGACAAAAAAACGATTGGGATGGAGTACTCGACGTTCGACGTCGACGTAAGTGTGAGTGCACTTTTTTAATGGCAGCCCCCACATCTCTGCCCTTCCACGCACTATCCCACATCTCTGCCCTTCCAAGCACTCCCCCACATCTCTGCCCTTCCAAGCACCCCCCCACATCTCTGCCCTTCCAAGCACCCCCCCACATCTCTGCACTTTTACGCACTCCTCAACCTCACTGCCATTAGCCTCCAATACATTGCTTCATTGGTATCCTGGTTCCACCTCATAAGAGTCACCCTAACCCTTTTATGCGTGCAGTGTTCCCTGTGGCTATGGGACGTTTTTGACAAACCGTGGGGAAATCCGTACCGCGTCATCATGCCGGACATCATGCATCAAGCGGATCTCGGGATCCTCGGGCACATTGTCACCGCCATCCATTGCACTCAGGGGAAGTGGCTTCCCTTGTTTGATGCGTAAGTTTGGGTGGGTTATGTTCTGTCTCATGTAGGTTGGCATTGCTATCTCCTCTCTCTTGTGTTGCGAATTCGTGGTTTCTTGTGCAAAGCATCATTCAATTCATGAATGGAGTGTATGTCATCCCTACTTCTTCTACCATGCTCAGGCGTTTGAAATCACTGAGAGCAGACATCCGCATGACACATATGCGGCTCCCTAATTCGACGTACTTCGTGTCCGACGCCCAGGTTGCCGCATTCGAGCACCGATCTGTTCTGCAGGTTAGTGACAACCGTAAATGAGGCATTGCTTGGCACGAGCAGCACTCTATCCTCCCTTACCCTCTGTCCCACACCCACCACTCCCCTCCCCCCCCTCTGCCCCTCTTTCTGAGGCAGCCCACACCCTACTGTTCTCTCTCTCCATGAATCTGTCATAGCGACTTCTCTAGTCAGAATTTTCATACCCCTTTTTTAATCCCCAAATTCACAGGTGTTGATTTTTGTGGTCGCGGACAAGCTCGGGGATGCGCAGTTGAGCGCCATTCGAGCATACCTCGAGTGGTATCTTTACTGCGCCCGGCTCCCAGGTCACACGGAGGGCACGCTTCGGCATTTGCAGGAATTGACCGTCGAGTGAGCCCTCAACTTCTCCCACTTATGCATATCTTATTACCTTAATACCATATCTTTGTTTTGGATGGGGCCGGATAGGGTCTTCTTTCGTTTACACGACTCTTTGTTGAGCTCTCCAAGCCTCACCCCCCCACCTGCACCCTCGTGTCAGCCCCTTCTTTTAGCCGTTCTTGCCCTGTCACTGAACCGAGACAGGAGAGGGGGCAGAGGCATGCTCGAGCCTCTGTTTTGCGCTCCATGCCTCAACCACCCACCCATACCCTCATTTCAGCCCCTTCTCGGGCCTTTCTATCCCTGTTACTGACAGGAGTGACTAAACCGAGATGGGAGAGAGAGCAGAGGCATGCTCGAGTCTGTGTTTTGCGCTCCAAGCCTCGACCACCCACCCATACCCTCATTTCAGCCCCTTCTCTGGCCTTTCTTTCCCTGCCACTGACAGGAGCGACTGAACAGAGATGGGAGAGAGGGCAGAGGCATGCTCGAGTCTCTGTTTTGCGCTCCAAGCCTCAACCACCCACCCATACCCACATTTCAGCCCCTTCTCGGGCCTTTCTTTCCCTGTTACTGGCAGGAGGTCTGAACCGAGATGGGAGAGAGGGCAGAGGCATGCTCGAGTCTCTGTTTTTCTCCCCAAGCCTCATCCTCCACGCATCCCCTCATTTCAGCCCCTTCTCTGGACTTTCGTTCCCTGCCACTGACAGGAGCGACTGAAAAGAGATGGGAGAGAGGGCAGAGGCATGCTCAAGTCTCTGCTTTGCGCTCCAAGCCTCGACCACCCACCCATACCCTCATTTCAGCCCCTTCTCCGGCCTTTCTATCCCTGTTACTGACAGGAGTGACTAAACCGAGATGGGAGAGAGATCAGAGGCATGCTCGAGTCTGTGTTTTGCGCTCCAAGCCTCAACCACCCACCCATACCCTCATTTCAGCCCCTTCTCTGGCCTTTCTATCCCTGTTACTGACAGGAGTGACTAAACCGAGATGGGAGAGAGAGCAGAGGCATGCTCGAGTATGTGTTTTGCGCTCCAAGCCTCGACCACCCACCCATACCCTCATTTCAGCCCCTTCTCTGGCCTTTCTTTCCCTTCCACTGACAGGAGCGACTGAACAGAGATGGGAGAGAGGGCAGAGGCATGCTCGAGTCTCTGTTTTGCGCTCCAAGCCTCAACCACCCACCCATACCCACATTTCAGCCCCTTCTATGGCCTTTCTTTCCCTGTTACTGGCAGGAGGTCTGAACCGAGATGGGAGAGAGGGCAGAGGCATGCTCGAGTCTCTGTTTTTCTCCCCAAGCCTCATCCTCCACGCATCCCCTCATTTCAGCCCCTTCTCTGGACTTTCGTTCCCTGCCACTGACAGGAGCGACTGAAAAGAGATGGGAGAGAGGGCAGAGGCATGCTCAAGTCTCTGCTTTGCGCTCCAAGCCTCAACCACCCACCCATACCCTCATTTCAGCCCCTTCTATGGTCTTTCTTTCCCTGTTACTGGCAGGAGCGACCGAACCGAGATGAGAGAGAGAGCAAGGCATGCTCGAGTCTCTGGTTTGCTCCCCAAGCCTCATCCCCCACCCATCCCCTCATTTCAGCCCCTTCTCTGGCCTTTCTTTCCCTGCCACTGATAGGAGTGGCTGAACCGAGATGGGAGAGAGAGAGGGCAGAGGCATGCTCGAGTCTCTGTCCTGCTCTCCAAGCCTCAGCCCCCCCACCCATACCCTCATTCCAGCCCCTTCTCTGGCCTTTCTTTCCATGCCACTGACAGGAGTGGCTGAACCGAGATGGGAGAGAGAGAGGGCAGAGGCAATGCTGGAGTCTCCTTTCTGCTCTCCAAGCCTCACCCCCCGACCCATACTATCAACGTAGTCCGTTACCTGCCACTGGTGGGTAGAGGCAGAGCAGAGAGAGGGAGGGGCAGAGGAATGCATGGGGCAAACCTCTGCTCAATTCAATTCCAAGCTACTATCCCTAATCCAGCCCATTATCTCCCGTACGGTCCCATCATACACCCCATTTTCCCCGCAACCTGGCTCTAGACAGTCTCGTGGCGAAGTTGCAAGTGGCGTTTCCCACCCAAAAATCTGAGTGGTGCATCATCAAGACTCATCTCCTGTCGCATTACGTTCACGCTATCCGGAGGGCGGGTCATGTGTCAGAATTCTCGACAAACATGTGGGAGCACTTGCACGGCCCCCTCTTGAAGAGAATTTACCGCCGCTCGAACAAGCGCAACGTCAAAGCGCAAATCATGAAACATCACGAGAAGAGTGCTGCTTTTATCACACTGGAGGACGAGGACGGGGCTCGCTACACCATCATGCAGCAGGTAACTCAACTCTTTAGAAGCGCTAGACTGAGTTACTTACATTTGCAATTTTTATGTGACGCCCCTCCCTCCGCCACCCCTGCCCCCCTTGCTCCGTCCCCCTGCCCCCCATGCTTCTCCCCCTCTTCCCCCTTCTAACCCCCCCCGTAGGCGATGGACACCGGACGACCAGTCTTGACGAGGGAATCCGAGCCACTTGCTGTTTTGCCAGCAAGTGACCCCACCTCTGCTAAGTTCTTTGCGTCTCGGTGGTCGCAGCAGCACCCGAGTGCACACAGAGCGTTGTCGCACGCTTTGGCGGCATATGGCATTACCGTGCAAACCATTCAGGTATGGTTTTTGCCATGATATAACACTTGTGGCCATATTTGCTACAATCAACTAATAGAAGATGTATTCATATTAACTTGATTTCATTCACCGTTTTGGCAGACCCATACAACAATGGCGATGCCAGCAACAACTGAAACGCACGCATCGCGGGTGGCACATTTCGTGAGAGCAACCCCTGAGTGCCACAAAAGACCCTGGTTTTCAGATATTGCTGCTTGGTGCGAGGGGGAGAGTGTGGCCTATGCAAAGTTGCTGCTATTGTTCCATTGCACTCATGGAGGAGAGCGTCATGATCTTGCGTACGTGAAGTTCTATAGGACCGCAGGCGTGCATGCAAAGACCGGCTGCGTGCGCCTATCTTCTTTCATCCCCGACGCATTTACCGTTATCCCTATAACTTCTATTCTATGCCATGTCCATGTAGTGAAGTCGTTTGACGAGACTGAGGTCAATGTATACTTTATGAATAAATATTTTATGTAGTTAAGTATATGTTAAATCTATTATAGTGGGTTATTCAATATAAAATTTCATGCCAACAAACTCTGGTGTTGTTACATGTACCAACAATGACTTAAATATTCATCATCAGCATAAAGTTGGATAAATACATTTTCGTTTGTGCTTTCTTCTATTTGTAGTTTTATAAAACTACAAGAGTTACTCAAAAACTGTACATGACGTAGGAAATACATGTTAAATAGGATGTATTCCTTATCCCGCAGCCTCCAGCCACGCGCCCAGCTGAAATCTGTCAGAAAACCGAAGCGTCGGAAACGGTGTTGAAATCCGCCTGAAATAGAATTGTTGGGCGAAACAAACATCTGGTTACCCCGTTTCCGACAGAAATCCGACAGTTTCATGTCGGAAAACAGTGGGAAATCGGGGACAGGCAAAATTCGTCAAACACAAGGTTCGAAACCCCGAAAACCAACTCGGTTGAACTCCGGGTTTTTTGTGATGTGGCTGCCAAATGGTTAAGTCCCGTGTAGCAGCCGGGCATGGGTCGGATTGGACATTTGCGCGTCGACCTGCCCAATATGCCGAGCCGCGCGCAGAACAGTATACATTCGAGACGCGGCGCGGCAGTCAGGTGTTCCGTTACGTTGCATCTAGAGCAGTTCCGATATTCACTTTCGTGCAGCCACTGTGAAGTGCAACCAACACGTATCCACACAGGAAAATCAATTACATTTCACCAACATTTTTCCATAACCTGCTCTATGCAAACACCACTCACACTCAGAATCCTCCAGAATAAAACATCTCATTCGCAACACAGCGACATGTATGCGTATGCATCACAAAACCCGCCAGACTCATGTCACCTAAGCTAACCCACTCAACTCACAGCCGTGCGCTGCACCTAACTCACATCCCACGCCAAGAAAAAAAAAGCCACACATATGGAACAACCGAAGAACAACCGTAACACATTAGACCGTTAGACCACACGGACAACGCTATCTTTGTCATCCTCCATTGGGAACAACACCCTCGCCGCCTGAACGTGTACTTCCTCCTCCGATCCGTCAGAGGTAACCCCTTCAGAGCTTGTACTGCCCCCCCGAGTGCGCTTAGTAGGCGTGCGGCGAAGGCGGCTCACCACCTCCTCATTGACAACACCGACCTCTTCTGGAACGTTGCGCGGATGTATTCCCAACCTCTCCGCCTCCATTACAAAGCCGCCATGCACCATGCGTCCCACACGGCGACAAATGCGACTTTCTCGCATCAGAGGCCCCTCGGGGATGCAGAAGTATGCGGGGATCTCCTCCCCCGGCCCGCTGTCCCCTGCGCCTACCGGCATCCACTTCTCCAGGAGGTCTTCGTCGCACCCTACGAAATCCCACGCCGTCATGAACGCCCTGCTGCTGCACTTGCTCTTAAACTCCTCGATGACCAGCTGCAAATGCGTTAGATCCAACACCAGACATTTGAACATGCCGGCCGCTGCTTTCCCCTTCAAGCAGTCCATACGCGCCAACCACCCCTTCGGAACACACCCGGCTCTCCACCAGCTCCTCTGTATTGTTCCCGGCATCGTCAACTTGCCCGCCATGAACAGCTTATACAGGACATCGTGCAGCGGAGGCCGTGGAAACACACCATACCGGATCCACTCGGTGCTGCTGACCGCGTCGCGCATGAACCACGTCCGAAACACTGCTTTCAGCGCGTCCACCACCCCATTAATGGCTGTGAACGTACACGCCGGCACCACACCAAACGTCTGCACAACTCGCACTCGGGTTAACTCATCCACCACGAACCCCGCCACGTGGCTAGTCCGTTTCACACATCCGGTCAGCACGTGCGCAGGGTTGTGTACGACCACCACCGCTTTCTCGTTCTTGGCGTGCAGTTCCGCGTTGAAATCGTCGATGTACTGCGTAAACAACTGCGCACACAACATCACCTATGCCTTACTGCGGTATTACATGTGCGTCGTGATTTCACATAGGAACGACGAACACGGCATTGAATAACGGATGCCCACATCACCTACCTCGGGCGAGAAACGGCCATTCTTAGCGTAGCGGACTTGCGCATCATGACTCTGCTTGCGGCCCTCATGTAGGGCCTCTTGTCATCCCGTCGAAGAACCACGAGCGGTGGCATGCGAATACTTCTGGTCGCGTTGTAATAAAAGCACACCGGCATATGCCACTCGCGCGACACCTGCCCATGCTCGTCCTGCGACACTCCCAACGGAACCCGTGTTGGGATGAGCGGAAACTCGGTGAAAGCGAACACCTTTTCAGGTGGTGCCTTCAGCGCCTCCAGAACTGTCACCAGGGAAGCCATGGCGAGAGTATGCAGAACACAAACGGTATACGCAGTCCCTGCACATAACTCGAACTCGCCCCAATAGCATCACGACGGAATAGAGGAACCTCGGCGAACGAGGCCCACAATGTGCCACCTCAGCATCTTAATGGAGCACACACCCCCAAACGCAATCGCCCAATCTGCATTCACCACCAGTATCCACCAATGGGACGACCGTTCCCACCAATTGGTGCGTGGTGTTTGGATTGCAACATCGGTTGTACCGAACACCATCCACCAACCCCAATACTCGTACCGTCACATCACCGCATCCTCAGATGACAACGTGCGGGTACATTGAACGTCTTTCTAGCACACACCCTACCTTGAACAGCGTGTACTCGAGATGGTATGCTTTGACTACATACCAATCGATAATGTCAAGCCTGCACTGTACTGGCATATGTCGTCTACACCAAACTGGCTTACACAATAGTTTTCGCCCTACCACCTCTAGCATCGTCCTACGCCCATGCATTGTGGTTAGTCTCTGGAAGCAATGTCGCTGTCATCTATGAACACAACGCCAGAGGTTTCTGACACACCATAATCGTCCCTCTCATTCAACCCTGTAAAGGTCTACTGACGTGGTTTCACCCACCAAACGCCAAAGGACACGGCCTCCCACTCATTCTGTCTGTGGCTCTTCAACCTCCAGCCCACAATTCACTCGCACAATAAGAACTTGTTGAGAAGCATCACCCGTGGGTTGCTGAAAGAGCGGCAGATGTGCACTATCTGCTCGATGCTCTCCAGTGCAACCACAGCATGCCTGGTGTCCAACCGGGACGATGTGAGCTGCACGCATGTGGTGAGTGGGCAGACCCCCCCCTATTCATACCACCGCACGTACACAAACCCCCTCCGTTCCCCCTCAGCCGTAACTGCCTTAAAAATACAGAGCGCCTTGGCGTACCACTCTTCCTTCATCTTGTTCGACTTCACAGCAAAGTCTGTGAACCAGTTCTCCTTGGGGCTTGCCTTGATGAACGCTCCCTTCGAGACAAGTGCTCCACCCTTTGTGCGTGGAATCGCCACCGCCGTGTGGGCCTGCATTGGTGGGGCAAGGGAAGACGAGGGTTTGCGTCTGATAAGTACGTGTCCTCAAGATGCATTCGCACCCCGCATTACACAGCATCGCGAATATACCACACATGTCCACAGCCTAGGGCTTCACCTCACGTACCACAATCTCTGATGCCGTGATGTTCGCAGCCACCATGCACCCAAGCAGCGAGTCCATGAGTTCTCCTAGCGCGGTACGGTAGGTGGACATCACAGCGTCGCCCTCCACCTCTGGTCGCATCGTTCGGCCCTTCCTCGTGAGCACGAGCTTCATCGTCTCCACCGCCTGCCGTGGTGGGCATGCAAGCGTATACAATGAGTACGACTGGCCCATGCACCGAGAACGCGGCGTGTCAAGTTGGCTCAGGTCAAAGTGCAAGAACAACAACACTGTGAAGCCCCCGACACACTGGCTCACCTCGCGCAGAGCTGTCGCATACTGACGCCCACCACCCGCGTCCTGTGCCACCTCCCTGTATATCTCTTTCTGCACCTCCTCCTCGAAGATCCGCCTGGGGATGTCCTTCCAGTTGCTGCCCCTGACCAGTATCTTGACTGTCCCCTTGTGGGTATGCTCCCACATCTCCATGCTGTAGTGGTGCAGCATCCCGCGCATAATCACATTGTCCAGCAAGTGGACAATCATGTGAATCTTGGGAAAGCGACAGTTCGAGGCGTGGTCCGGGTAGGCCTGCGGCAAAATCTCCACCAGCCTATGGAGCAGCACATCGCACGAGGAGGATGGTGACTCCGTGCATGCCATGGCCAGACACTGCAACCAACCCCTATCGATGCATTCAGCGCCGCCCCCAACCCCCAAACCATATCCCCCAAGTCTCACCTACTTGATTGCATGTGCACGTGCGAGTGCTAGAGAGGCCTCCGTGTGTCCGCTGACCCCCAGAAACGCCTTGTCGAACGTGGCATACATCCTGAACGCCCGGACGCGGAGCGCGGCCAGCTCCCCATCCTTTCCCTTCTGTAGCGCTGACTTGTCGGCCACTAGGATGGGCATCATCTGCATCATGCTGCGGTGTTCGAACGCTGCATAGTTTGCACCGCTCAGGAAGTAGGAGCTCCCTCCAGGCAGGCGCAACAGGACACTCGGGGTCTCTCCTTTGGTTGTCTTCTTGCGCCTGTTGGGATAGGGTGCTCGGGGATATGCACATAGACGAGATTGCGTGGAACACTAATCCCCAAGCCAACGCCAATGCATTCACCAAACGGTGTTTCCATTGCTTGCTTTCCTGTCTTATGTCCGTATGCAGGAAACCCGAGCTACTCACCTCTCAACTTCTCGCCTCTCTGGCTTGCTTAGTACCGCGATGTGGTTCTCCAGCATGTGCAATGCCATTCCCGAATCCAGCACATGCATGATGTCAGCAACGCAAGCACCAAACGGGTTTCCCCACGTCGTGTGTGAAAAGTTCCACCGCGATAACACGCACTGCATGGTGGGGTGTAAAGTATGTGAGGGGTTCTAGTCTTGGTGTGCAGCAGCGATCAACTGTGATTCCCGCGCCCAGCCCAAATACCACTAGACCCATATCTCCACAGGATGGGTTGACCACTCGGTCAGTATCGCTTCCGCCTCTTTCACCGTCTTGCACGCAAGCATGTTGCGCAGCACATGCATCTCGGGGTCTACTGTCCGCGGCGTGGCCTAGTGCTCAAGGTCTCAAAGGAGCTCGTCCGGAACGTAGCATGTGTCAGAATCCCAACCACTAGACCATTGGGATAAAAGGGCTTGTTAAGTAGCGGGTCAGGGCGCCCATAACCCCCCAGGCCAACGTGCCTCTAACCCTTCCCTAGGATCAATCGGGGATCACCAGTGGACCTCTGACACCCCTCCCGCACTGGGATGCCCGAAGTGCATACACCGGGATTCGAATCCGAGACCTTCGCTCTGATACCATGTCAGAATCCCAACCACTAGACCATTGGGATAAAAGGGCTTGTTAAGTAGCGGGTCAGTGCGCCCATAACCCCCCAGGCCAGCATGTCTGTAACCCTTCCCTAGGATCAATCGGGGATCACCAGTGGACCTCTGACACCCCCCCGCATTGGGATGCCCGAAGTGCACACATCGGGATTCGAACCCGAGACCTTCGCTCTGATGCCATGTCAGAATCCCAACCACTAGACCATTGGGATAAAAGGGCTTGTTAAGTAGCGGGCCTGTGCGCCCATAACCCCCCAGGCCAACGTGCCTGTAACCCTACACTAGGATCAATCTGGGATCACCACTGGACCTCTGACAGCATGCGCAGCATGGCCGCTTTGTGCCTATTTGCAGCGTCGCAGTGACTCTGCATTGTTTGATAAAGTCGTTAGGGTAACCAAAGAAGCATGGCACGGCCTTAACCGGCTCACCGTTCGCGTCTGTGACATAGAAGACTCTCAAAGGCGCACTGCATGAGCCGACGTAAAGAGTAGGGGATTGACACCGTCTCTTTCCACCGCAACATCCAAACAAACGCTCCATATGGAGGGTACATGCAGCATGAAATGGCAGTCATACATACGTGGCGGACTCCCACATGAGTGGCGCCAGGATGATCCGAATTGCCTCTTGAAACACTCTAGCCTTCTCGGTAGATGTTACCCACTCGAGGGGGAAAGGCAGCACAACAGCCAGTGCGTGGCCACGTTCCATCTTCCTCAGCTCTTCCGGTAAGTTGAGCAGCGTTATGAGGACGGGCCATGCCTGGCGGCACCCGTTGCGCGTGGCGTTGGTGCCATCGCTGTAGACAATGACGCCAAGCACCCAGGCGGATGGGTCGTTCACGTCCTTCTGCTACACATTAGCTCAAGCTTAAGAGTGCAAATGGAGACACGCCAGCCCACCCGAGCATTGCAGTATGTGATGTTTCTCGTACCTGAGCCTCTTCAAGCCATTTAGCAGTCCCAGGGTCGGTGTAAATACGCTCGTCGGTCTTGGGGTCCACCTCTGTTCGCGGTTTTGTGACGAACCCTTTAACTCCCGCAAAGATACGCACGATCTTCTTAACGATCTAGAAAGGCACAAGGCTACCTTAGAACACGCGTAATGAGAGTAAATGCGTGCTCCCAACAATCCCTAGACTGTGAAGGCAACTGGAGACATGGGCGTACCTCCTCCGTGTTCCGGTAGTGCAGCGGGAGCTTCTGAGTTTGACCGCGCGGACCTCTGACAACTATCTCCTCGCACAACCACGGGACCATGTCCGGGGGCGCCCTTGCTTCCCCCCATTGCCTCACGTCCAGCCAATTGCGCCACCGTCACAATGCACGCACGTTGAATCTCGGATTTTTGAAGATATGCAACAAGCGGTTGACTTCCCGGCGCGAGAGGTCCGAGTCTCCGATGAATAGATATATCGCAGTGAGGGTGTCAAAGATCTCACCGCCCGAACTCTGCTCGCTACATGCAAAGTGATCGTCACCATCGCTATGCTCTACCTCGGCGGCTGTCGGATGACGCCACGCGGGTCCCGCAGGGGCGTTGCGAGGCACAGGAGCCGCGCCTCGCGGGTCCCGCAGGGGCGTCGCGACGAGGCGGGGGCGACGCGGCGGGGCCGCGACTGGCGACGGGGCGGGGCTGCGACTGGCGACGGGGCGGGGCCGTGACTGGCGACGGGGCGAGGCCGCAACTGGCGACGGGGCGGGGCCGAGATTGGCGACAGGGCAGGGCCGCTACGGGCAGTGGGGCAAAGCCGCGAAGGGGCCGCGAAGGGAGCCGCGAGGGGGGCTATGAGGGGGCCGTGAAGGGGCCGCGAAGGGGCCGCGAAGGGGCCGTGAAGGGGCCGCGAAGGGGCCGCGAGGGGGCCGCGAAGGTGCCGCGAAGGGGCCGTGAAGGGGCCGCGAAGGGGGCGTGAAGGGGCCGCGAAGGGGCCGTGAAGGTGCCGCAAAGGGGCCGTGAAGGGGCCGCGAAGGGGCCGCGAAGGGAGGCTGTTAAGGGGCCACGAGGGGCCTGAAGGGGCCACGAAGGGGCCACGAAGGGGCCGTGAGAGGGGCCGTGAGAGGCCGTGAGAGGGGCCGCTACGGAGCCGTAAGGGAGCGCGACGGGCCACTAAGGGCAGGGGACACGACGGAAGGGTAGGCACACGGGGCGCGACTCGGGCAGGGGCGAAGCGCGCTCCGGGCAGGAAAACAAAAATCGATATTTGGTGGGCCCTAGGAAACGTTCCCACTAGGGAACCTGCTCTATACCATGTGAAAGAACGAGGATCGTGTGCACTAGGAAACAGGTGGGTACAAGTAGGAAAACCTAAAAGTGTTGTATGTCTACCCCACTACAGCCTACACAGACTATAGTGAAAAGAAACGAGAATGAATGACTAAGGAATGAAAGTGATACAAGTATGCAACCTTAGAATTGTGTACCCCATATAGGCTACCCCACTACAGCCTACACAACATTATAATTTGACACACCCCCATAGGCAAAGTGGGGGAGAACAAGGGGTCACAAGACCAGTCAAGCAGAGCAAAGCAAGCTCAGGGTGGATCACAAAGTCACCACACATTCCGAGCACAAGTTCAAGGCCATGAGGCCAGTTCACATGCAGGAGTACATATATATATAGAAGGCTAGAAAAGAAAGAGCAGGGGTATATATATGTAACAGTACAAACAAGGTCAAGAGGTGAGCAAGTGAGGCAAAACAGGCACAAGACCAAGCTGAGTGCAGAAGCGCTGATGATCACAAGGCGCAAGTGCCTTGGTGAAGACATCAGCAGTGTTGGCCTCAGAGGCCACGTAAGCAAGACGGAGCTAACCACGCTGCTGCAGCTCACGACCAAGGAAGTAGCGAAGAGCAATGTGCTTCGTTCTGTGCTCTAGTCTCTACTCTGGACACAAGGCCAGCATGGCCTTGTTGTCTACGTACAGCACTGGAGGAGAGCGAGGCACCTCGCCAAGGTCAGTCAGCAGGTAGGTGAGCCAGCGAAGCTCCTGTGCAGCCATGGCCCCGGCGTAGATCTCAGCCTCACAACTGGAAACGAGAACAGAAGACGAGCGGGTAGCCCGCCACGAGACAGAGCCCGAACCAAGGCTGAAGGTGTAACCCTGTGACGACCGCTGCGTAGCCTGGTCGTCCGCCCAAGAAGCGTCTGCGTGCCCAGCGAGGACCACTTGACACCGCCCTCCAAGCACAAGCCCCATGCCCGACGTACTGCACAAGTAGCGCAACACCCTCTTCGCTGCAGCCATGTGCTCCGGTCTGTGTCTCCCAGGAGCAACATAGTGTGCGAGAATGCTAAGAGGGTATGCAAGGTCAGGTCGAGTGCAGGTCATCAGGTACATGAGGCAGCCAACAAGCTCTGGGTACGGGCCACTCGACTCTACGGAGTC